TTTTTCGTTCCTAGAGGGTGGAATAGACCTTTTCTGTATATAGACAGTATTCGAAGGCGGTGGGATGGTTGTTTCGATACCGATCGATCAACAACTAATCCCAAGGGCGAGCGTTTCAGAGATCCATATGGGAATTGACTTCACGCTTATAGATCTTGAATCATGACATTTACTATCAAGCGAACTCGACCGATGCTGAGCCCCTTTATAGCTCCCCACAGAAGCAAACTTAGCACAGCATTGTGGCAAAAACCAGTAAGACCACCCACATCACAATCATCAATAGCACCCTTGACAGCCAATCTTTATTCAATAGAACCAGAGAGGCAAACTTATTATGTCATAAAAGAGTCAAGACAATTGTGGCTTAAAGTCTAACCAGTGATGTTGTCATACTTCTCCCAAGTCAGGAATAATGCAGATCATGGAAGTACCCACAATCCAGGCGCTTTTCTGCAGAATGACTTACACCCCGTAAAGGCGGATCTAGCGCTGATGTCCATTTTAAGTAGTCACAAGGCTTAGTTAGACACCATTGTTGGTCCAATCTAGTCTATACCGATTCTGGGTCTAGGCGCAGCACATCCCTGCTTAATCTGACTCGAGCAGGTGGCGACACTTGTCTGGGTAGCAAACAAGCAGGGGTGGATGAGCTGAGCTAATCTGGATAGATTAATATGTCGATTGCCAGGTTTTTGAAGCGTTGCTGTACCTGCTTAACTACTCCTTTGTGGGATTGTGTAGATGGTTGTATTAATGTAGCTATATGTTATAGTATATATATACTATGTAAAGGGTGTATATGGCAATGGCTATGGCAATGGCTATGGCTATGGCTACTCTGCTATATGATCAAATATGTAGATGCCAGACAGCATGTTATAGTTCATCATGTTATCTTCATGTATAATCCCTGAATCAAAATCATTTATCCCAATTAATCGGACCACAAATGACCGCACTACCCAGTATCGCAGCGATCATAAACGGGGCCAACCTCGATCCAACGAACATATCCCAAGTCGAGACCTTCTTTGAACAATATGCCAATCTATCCCCAACTGAAAAGGACAAAGAACGAGGATCCTTCGTAGAGAAAGTCTTTCCCCCTTTTTCTTCGGGCGAAAATGTCGTGGTAGACGGGTCAAGGGCATACGAAGCTCAGCGCCAAGTCCCATGGTACGGTCCATGATCTACAAACTCCAGCTATATCATCTAGTCTAATGTTTAGATTCTCAGGTCAACTATCTGTTGACTCCGACCACGGGTAGTAAGTACTCCCCACGTCAGCTCAGGAAGTGGGAACAGATGGAGTAGTAATTATGGGGGTGTGGTGATTTCCCTGGCTGTGGTGGGTGGGAGGTTCCCGACGGTAGGTGTATCGGGTCTGCTTCTGGGTGGTGGGCTTTCGTTTCGACATGGAGTGGATGGAATAGGTGCCATGGGGGTGTTTAATTACGAGGTAAGTAAGTTGTTCCATTACATGGGCTTGTTTGTTTGTTCCTGAGATAAGATAGGTTGTTCTTGCGAATGCCGAGATAGTGGAGAATAACGACTTATTCTGGGACTTGAAAGGTTGTGGGGGGGGTGGTTGTAATTTTGGTATGTTCAGTCGCTTATCATGCTCATCTACCGTCCCCATTTGCGTTGATTCTGATTCTCACTCTGCCAAAGGAATCGTAACCAAAGTCGAGATGACAACAGTTCCCGCCAAGATCTGGTCCGAAGCCAAAGTCTAAGCACCATACAACACCACGGAACTATTACAAGCCCTGGTGAAACACCATCAGGCAATAGAACACGATAACAAGCCTTCTCTGATCTTGGCCTGTAATGATCAAGGCAGTATACTTGTCTCGGTCTACTGTGATCCAGTCAATAAACTTCCGTCTGTCTTTGAGCCGTTTGAGAATATCCCATTCACTTCCCAGAGTCTGTCCAGGGGTGTACATTCTACCTACGAGCTTTTGGAAGCGATGGAAGGGTTTTCTGTTCCGGAGCGTGTTTGGTTTGCATTTCCTTTCTTTGACTACACTTGACCTGGGGAGATGCGAAGTTTGGACATGAAAGTCATGATTTCCGAGTTATGGGGAGTCGGGTGTCGTTGGAGGTCTATTTAGCTGCCGAGAGAGTCCGTGTCCAACAGGTGGATGCACTAAGCGATGTTGAAGGACTTAAGACTAACGAACGTAATCCGACAGATATCTTCAATAAGCATTAAGCAAAGCCAGAAAGCTGGCGGAAACCCACTAGGACTGGAGGAGGTCGGCCAGCAATGTGCGTTACCTCTCCTTTCTCTGACTCTTCAATAATAAACTGGCTAATCGAGTCCAGGGTTTCTAATGATGACTAGTAATTGGAATAACCCTGCAGACGGAGACCGTGTACGCCAAGCTATGCGTCACATTGTAGACGCAGCTGAAACGACTGCAAAAGCGAATGGGATGTATCTTCCCTTCCAGTACTGTAATTATGGTTTACGGGGATCAGGATTCATTAGCAAGTTATGGGACTGAGAATATGGATAAGTTGAAGGATATTGCGTTGAGGTATGATCCTGATGGTGTGTTTCAGACGTTGCAGAGTGGTGGATGGTTGCTTTCTAAGGTTCCCCGTGGACCAGTCTAGAAATACAATATTAATTTTAGCCTTTATATAACTAAGGCGAAAGGTATCTGTTCAGTGTATGTACATTCTGTTTCAAGGTTGTTTATGTTGTCGAATCACGGCATTCATTCCACCCTAACCGCCGAGAGAAACAGACAAATGAAAGATATCTAATCTTGTTATGGTCGGAGGTAAACAAACGCACGGTCGATAGATGAAGCCACACTGCCACAGCAAGGTAAGCTCACCAAGTCAGCCGGAGGACTAGGGCATACCCCAGCGAGGCGCGTTCACGATGATGCCAACTAAACAGCCGGAGATGATACCGGCGCAAGGAAGGGTGATGATCCAACCCATGTAGATCCAGGCAACCATTCTCCAGTTGATCGTTCTCCAGGTGCCGTTGCACAGGCCAACGCCAACTGTAGCGCCGGTGATACACTGGGTGGTGGAGACGGGGAGGCCTACACACACGACATGTTAGTGAATGAATGACATTTTGGGGAGGGGGGATTTCAGAGACGACATACTAAGCCGGGTGGCGATAATCACAGCGATGGCCGCACCGAGTTCCATAGTGAACCCACGGGAGGGAGAGTGCAGGGTCAGACGGTTACCCAGGAAACTCATGATGTGATAGCCATAGGTCCAGATACCAATGGCGATGGAAGCACCACCGAATACACTAGAGGATATGGGTTAGCCGTGCGAACTCTCTGACATTCAATGAATGAGAGACTTACAGAATCCAGATGGGAACAGGAGTCTCAGCGCCTTCAAGGGCACCACTTCGCCAAATAGCATAGATGGTGGCATACGGGCCAACAGCACTAGGAATGGTTAGCATTGGCCTGTTGGTGGTCTAGAGAAGTTCGGGGAAAGTCTCACTTAGCAACATCATTGGCACCATGGGTGAAGGCGGCGGTACAGGCCGTCAGAATCTGGAGGAAAGAAAACATGTACTCTGCTTCGTTATCATAGTGGTCGGAGTGTGCGTGGGTCTTTTCGAGGTCACCCGCAAGCTTGCTGTCCTTCTTCTGGGCGCTAACAATGTCCTGCTCAAGACCACGGAAGAGGGCCTTCTTGAACAGCCAGAACATAACTGCAGGGTTATACCAGACTCCCTCAGGACGGGGACCACAGAGGTTGATAACATCACCATCCGTATGAGCTGCACCGTCACCCGAGCTCGAACTAACGTGGGGCTCGCTCTTGGGATCGGGAGAGGAATGTTCACTGTTGTTCTCGACATCGCCAGATCGGTCGGCTTGCAGTTGATCCAGGGTCTTGTGGCCTTCATAAAAGTTTCGGACGGTCTTCACATGCGCAGGGCGAGGAGGCACTTCACCACGGCGTAGGAGAAGAGGTCCTTGGATGATATGCCAGGGCTTGAGTTGCCAGTCGCTCAGGATGACCCGGCGGTAGAGCCAGGGGCAAAGGAAAATAGCAGAGAGGACAGAGATACCAGCACCAACACCTACCACAGTGCCAGCAATCTCACCACCTTCCAGGTCGATTCTGCTGCTACCGCCCTTCCAGACAATAAGCACTATGATATGTCAGAAATATGAACAGGAAGGCTCCAAGGGTAAGGGGTCAAACATACTAGTAAGGAGGGCGGAGGTTAGGAGGAAGTAGAACGGAACAGTATACAGCGCCTTGAGGGCAGCGTTCCCACGCAGCAGGATACCATACTTAGTGATCAAGAAGATCAATGAAGCAGCCACACCAGACAACAGAGGTGCGATAATCCAGGCAAGGAATACCTGGACGACGCCAGAATCGATATTACCACCCCACCAGATAACATTATCGGCTCCAATAAGCGCGATACCCATTCCCAGGACACCTCCCAGGATGGAGTGAGTTGTGGACACCGGAAGTCCAATTTTCGTACAGATACTGAGGTATATAGCTGAGCCAACCACTGCGCAGCACATTCCAAGCATCAGGAGGGGAGGGTTTTCGGCGAAAGCATCGACGTCGACGATTTTTGTCCGGATCGTATCAGAAACACTGTCTCCTACACCGACACTATCAAACCCTGTCAACACTACAAGGTCCAAATGTCAGAATTCAATAGCAGGCCAGTGGCAAGCTTACGCTCCAGCAAACTCCATGATAGATCCCAGGATCAAGGCCTGCCATAGCTTGATCGACCGCGATGAGACAGACGTCGCCCAGGAGTTGGCAGCATCATTGGCGCCAATATTCCAGGCATCCAGAAAGGCGAATATCGTCCCGATGGCGAAGATGTAATCGTATTGGTGAAGAGCCATCTTTACGGTTGCCACGCAACAAGCGAGACTCCCAAGGCAAATCTTCGCTTTTCCAGGATGTTGATGGCAGGGCAGGGAGGGAAAGACAGCATAACGACCCGGATCAGGTCTTTATATGAGCCATAACATCATTATAGTGCTACTGTGTCTCCTGAGCCAGTTGAACGTTCTACATACTATGATGCCAAGAGACCAAGACAGTCCAGTTCCGCCGAGCTGCCAAGTCTTCCTAGACTGAGTGTCCGCCGACTAATCCAACTCCGCATACCAGCACGTGTCCGACTGTCAAATTACCAGTATCGCTTAAGCCTGCTGCCCAGAGTCATGCTTCCAAATCCATGTAGGCCTCGATGACTCGCCTGCATGCGAACCACCTCACTAACACGCTAATTTATGGGCGGATGTTTAAAACGGTGCAGACACGACCCATGTGTCCAATCTCACAGTTCCTATTGGCACAATTGCAGTCTCTTGGCCACGATCTAATCTTAATTTCAAGTGCCAAGCCGTTTACCACAGTCTTGCTGCTTGAGACGTCGTCCAAGTTGATACTTCGCAGAATGGGTGTATCTCATTCCACCTGCCATAGATGGCCTCTTATAACCCCTAGCCAGGCATCTGGTGCTCAAGTACAGCTTTCTCATTGGCTTCATTTGAATCTACCGACAAGGAATCAAGCGCCACTTCCTCTCCGCATCTGATGCCGGCATCAGACGCACTGTTCGACATGCTCAGCCACCGAGTCTAAATTCGGTAATGTCGCGTGCCCAGAGTTACAAGACTCTCTCAGCTCTTCGACCTGGTCTTGGAGGTGTTGGATATACTCCACCGCTGTCTCGAGCAGTTTTGCCTGGTCAGAAACCTTCAAGTGAGCACAATCTTCCGTTGCATCATGGGATTGGCTGAGTCTTTTTGCATTCACACCTTCGTGCCACTCGTTCCCTCATCCCCCACGCCTCCCATTTTCATTATCCGCGCCATTTGATCCAGCGCGACTTTCATGCGATCCCGTTGGCATTTCTGGGCGTCAGCATGTTGCCTCTTCCGACATTTAGCCGAATCAGGCACTGCCAGGATGTCTACTGAGCCTGCCCGATGAACTTATGTTATCCTGTTGATCTTGCCTGATTCTCATATTGACAGAAGTCACGTACCTTTCGGTCTAATCTCGACTAGCTTTTGTTGTCTATTTCGGGGATAAGGCAAGATCGTGTGTTTCGAGCCAGCTGGGATGGGGTATTCTCTTGCAAGCACGTGCGACATGGTTGGTATATATCCTAAGTATCAGCGCCAAGTTCGAATGCTTGAGAGCTCCTGAGCACCTCCGGCTCATTGGGGCAGCCGGCCAGTATATATAGCTGCGACACAGATCGAGGAATCTATTCAACAGACAGTCTATTATTAGTCATCTTAGAGAATAACGTAACCCACAGGTGAGTGGAAGCGCCTTTGTAGATGAAGCTATACAAAACCTCAAAGGTTCTGCATTCCTATAAAAATATTAAATAGCATAACAATTAGAACATTGATCAAGCTTATGGCCTAGAATATTACAGCCAGAACACCTTGAGGGAGCGTGTACGCGCTGGTTTTCTAACTGCAGGAGCTCTACTATCTACTCTATCTCTGTGAATACACACTTCCAATTTGGCACCGCCTAACAAATCAATTAAATCCAAATGTGTAACCACCGACATATCCATGGTCACAAGCTACATATTCTGGACAGTGGAGGCTTTTCTCGCCTGTATATTAGATATAGCTTGAATAGTAGAATTCCTGCTATGTAGAAGCTGCTGAGCTTTCTGGATTAAAGCATCTACTTTTAGAGTAATCTGACTTGCAGAGCGCTTTTTCTTTTAGGTGTTCTTTTACTTATAGTGCATAATTCCCTGACTTCCTGTCTTGTAATAGTAGCTTTATTTAGAGTTAGTTCACATTCTTTAACAAGTTGCCTTATAATGGTCTTAATAGGCAGGTCAGGGCTCTTTGTACGTGTTCAAAATTATTTCCACTAACGCAGGTCTAACAACCAAGGAAATACAATCCGGTCTAGAAAGTATTGCTAAAACCTATGGCAAGAGCTATGCCTTTTTTTCTTTTTTTCTTTTTCTTTTTTTTTTT